AAAAAACGCCCCAAGCTGTAACTCTGTTATTTATATTCCGATACTTGTGTGGCAACCTCTATATACAGGTGTCTTTTCTCTGCTAAAGTTATATTCAAAATGGATGTATTGTACATCAGTGGATTCAGAAAAACAATCTCTATCCAATGACGTAAAGAAAAATATATAGAGCAATTTGTAAAGCAAAAGTTAATAATCGCTTAAAATTGAAGATGGCCTTGGAAAAAATTTATTTGTAGCATGAATCATAGTATTCATGAAACCATTTCATTTGATACCCCGCTCATGAAAATCGGAATGTAAATGACAGAGTTACAGCTTGGGGCGTTTTTTGTGTGACACCCTGTATAAGAATTTCGAATTTCCCGCTAAGTGAGTACATCTAACATGGCGACCTTTCTAGCTTCATTTTAGGCGTGGTGGGGACAACAGCATGCGCACTCTAGATTATATATAAGACCTCAATGCCCTACGGTCAATAGTTACTAAACCGTTTGAAAAACAAAAAAATATTTTGTACAAAAGTTGTTTGACTCATTACTTTTTATTACGTAAAATTAGTACATAAATTTATTAAAATGGAACAGCCTGTATATTTTATCATATTATGAATACAACTAAATTTGTTTATATAACCGTATATGTTACTATTTCACAGCGTTTATAGTTCCTGAGATATTCAATTGTTCTTCCAAAATGTGTCCATTACAAGATCTTTTTAAAAACGATATTTTATATTAAAACGAAATTAGATACAATATACAGTGTGTTTAAAAAGCTCAGTTACTTTTGATGTTTTACAAAGGGCTTTTTCTTAAGTTTTTTAAATGGAACAGCCTGTATATTGTGTGCTAGTTGAATTGCTCAACAAGTTCCCTTTATTTAATGATAAGTATGTCATATGTCTAACTTTAATAGTTTTCCTGATATTGAGAATTTAAAGAAAAATGTGTAATATAATGTCATTATTGTACTTAAAAAACTGACAGAATGTAAATATATTCTGTCCTTTTTTTGTTTTTTCTTTTTTGTTTGTCTGTCATTTGTAAATCAGTAATATTATATTAAAATACAATTTAAAAAAAAAACTTTAATAAATAAATAATCAAAACGTGATAAAAATACAAGAAATACAATTAAATGGCAGAACAATAAATCCCTTTTTTAATTACTAAATTATTTGAATAAAACGCAACAACAAACTATAAACAATTACTAAACGTTGCTCAACCAGTAGGTATTAATTTAATCAATACTTAGAAGTTGTTCAAAATGCCGCCCATTTTCTCTTCTACAAGCATTAATGCGCTGTATAAAAGATCTTGAGATATCTCTTAACATGAGCATCTTATTTTCTCTAAAGTCGTAAATTATATGGCAGGACAATTGCATATTTTATTACTTATATCTTTTTAAATCTCATAAAGTTGCTACTTTTTAAAAGTCGCATTAAAATCTGCTATATCGGAGCAACATTATTTTACATTATAAAATATTAATCAAATAATAAAGGGAAGAACAAAAAAACTGATAAAAATAGACAGAATATAATGTTAAGTACAATAACGCATATTTTATTACACATTATTCTTTAAATTCTAAATATCAGGAAAACTACTAAAGTTAGATATATGACATACTTATCATTAATTAAAGGTAACTTGATAGGTAATTCAACCAGCACACAATATACAGGCTGTTCCGTTTAAAAAATTTATGAAAAAGCCATTTGGAAAACATCAAAAGTAACTAAGCTTTATGAACACCTGTATAGCGTATCCAATATCTTCGGTTATTATCATTTATCTACTGGCTTTAACTATTATTTGACATAGTTTCAAGGCAAAACTGGAAAAGATGTCATTTTTACATCGCTTTTAAAAAGATGGAGACATTTTGGAAAAACAATTGAATATCTCAGGAACTATGAACGCTATGAGTTAGTAACATATACGATCGTATAAGCAAATTTAATGCTATTCATAATATGATAAAATGTATAGGGTGTTCCATTTAAAAAAATCTACGTACTCTCCGTTACGCTTAAATGGAACATCCTCTATAAGTGAAAATAATTTTACGTAATAAAAAGTGATGAGTCAAACAACTTTTGTATAAAATATTTTTATCTTTCTCAAATGCTTTAGCAACTGTCGTTCGCCGGGATACTAATATTTCACCCTGTATAGTGAATTTCACTTAAGATGCAATATACAAAAATACATGCAAAAATGTTACAGAGCATTGTGTTAAGAGTACAATTTGCTACAACTTTTGTTGTAAAAGTTTTTCCAAAAATATATTTCCCTAGAAACAAGGGCATACCTAGTTATTTTGTCCCACATAAAATGCAATATTGCAATATAATTTACATAATTACAGTAAAACCTCGATGTAACGGATCAATACGGGGAACGCAGTGTACGTTATAGCTCAATAAAACTATACAACAATCTAAAATAACAAATAAAACTAGACTTGCACTAAAACTAACACTAGACATAGAACTAGAAACATTCCGTTTAGCCGTGCGTCTCTTAAGACAGCTAAACCTGAATATTTCTAGTTCTAGGTCTAATGTTAGTTCTAGTGACAGTAGCATAAGATATCACATGTGTTGCATATTTTTATTGCACTAAAACTAGAACTAACCCTTGACTTAGAACTAGAAAGTATCGTGCGTCTGAAGACGCACGGCTAAACTCGAATGTTTCTAGACCTAGGTCTAGTGTTAATTCTACTTTTACACTAGCACTGTCACTAAAACTAACATAAGACCTAGAACTAGAATCATTCGGGTTTAGCCGTCTTGAGAGACGTGTAGCTAAACCCGAGTGTTTCTAGTTCTAGGTCTAATGTTAGTTCTAGTGACAGCGATAGGTAGTGGTAGTTAGCATAAGATATCACTATATTGCATATTTTTATTGCACTATCACTAGAACTAACACCTAGAAATAGAATCATTCGGGTTTTTCCGTCTTGAGAGACGTGCGGCTAAATTCGAATGTTTCTATTTCTAGGTCTTGTGTTAGTTCTAGTTTTGCACTAGTACTGTCACTAAAACTAACATAAGTATTGCGAGTTATATGAAATTCCCGGTATAGGTACTTCACTCATTCACCTTAATTCTCATCTATGAAAACATTAATCTTAAAATGTAGTCCTTTGATTGCAGTATGTAGTAAGTATCTAATCTTTTAAAAAAAAGTAGCAAATTTAACTAAAAAAAACTTAAAATAGTTTCTTACACTATTTTAAATCTTAATTACAAAAATATCTTTTTAGCGAATCTGTAAGAGGCGAACAAAATAGTACATACACATCATCAGAAAGAATAATGTTAACATATTTCGTTTTGGTTCGAACTGAGTATGGATCACTTCCCGATGAATACGGTTTATTAAATTTACTTGCCCATAAAAATTTTGATGATGCTTATCCTTTACATGACGGTAAATGGCAATGGGATAATTACGGGCCCTTAAACGATCGACAAGTAATTTTTTTAATTATTTTTGGTACCGTATTATTTAAAAAATATTTTTGTTAACTAGATTTTGTGTAAATTTTGGGCAAACTGGCGTCACTTTTACAAAGACCAACCAACCCATTTGATCTACAAGTACTATGGGCCGGAAATCGCTTTTCATTACGCTTGGTTAGGTTATTATACAATAATGTTACTTCCGGTTTCAATTCTGGGTTTGATTGTGTTTGTCGTGAGTCTTTTTAGAATGTTCATTGATGATATGGAAAGAATTAGAATGTAAGTTTTTATACAAAGAATATCAATAACTATTATCACCTTTAATTTCAGTGAAGATATTTGTAATGACACTTTGGATTTATGCCCACCTTGTGTAAACGCAGCTTGTCTTCCACAAAAAATTTACAAATTTTGTAAAGAAGCCATGATAACTTATCTTACAGATAATGATTTGAGCATATTATTTGCTTTTATTATTGTTATTTGGGGTAAAACAATTTTGAGATAGATTATTATTAAAAGAAATTTAGATTTTTTATTAATATTTTAGCATCAATTTTTTTGGAGTTATGGCAAAGAATCGAATACACATTACGTTATAGATGGAATTTACTTAATGTGAAACCCGACATCGATGAACGGTTTGGAAATTTCTTTGTTTTGTTATTAAATAATAGCTAATTTTTTTTTCAGCCCGGAATTTAAAGAACGAACGAAAAACTACGTTCGAATAAATCAATATACTGGTCTTAGCGAAACTTATTACCCTATCAAGTATCAATTAAGACAATATGCGATTTCAGCTGTATTCTGTTTAATATGTGTAAGAAATTTTTAATTTTAAATGAACATAATTTCGTAATTTGGAATATAATATTATTATCTTTCAGATTGCCTTTTTTATAGCAACAGTTATGTGTATTCGAGCAACCGTTTATTTTTTTAGATACAGTGTGTATTTATCGGAATGGGAATTTGTAAGAGAATATGGTGATTTTGCTGTTAAAATGTATAGCGGCATGGCTACCGTTATTTTTATTAAACTCTATACTCCGGTAATTAACTTAATTATACTTTAAATTTAATGGTTGAATCCCAAATAATTGCATGTACTTTCTCTATGCATATTTAAAACGCTATCTTTTATCAAAAGTCGTTAATTCTCCACATCAAGAACTGTACTCAAGCAAACTTATCGAAACACTTGATTCTGTATTATACAGGTGGTCCATTTAACGTAAGACAAGCGATTATCTCGAAAACGGTTCATTTTACATAAAAATGAACCAAATGAAAGCTGTTTTGTGTGAAGGGGGAAACCATAATATAACGATAACATTTTTTGACCTTGACCCTATTTTCAAGGTTATATGAAGGTCACGGCTAATTTTCTAAATGGCACTCTATGTTTTTGATTGCAAAATCTGAATCTATACATAAAAGTAAAATAATGGCGAAACATCTTTTGTAGATAAAATCTAAATAATTTTGTTATTTAAATAGTTTTAAATATTGTTTGTTTATAAAAAATTGATTAAACTATACTATTAATCAACAACAAGTACAAAATTTATAATAAATGTTCAAATATTTCCTCACCCACTTCAATACATTTATTAACCCCTCTACTAAAACTTTCTTTACATCTTAAAAGGTTTTCTTGGCTACTATTTTTGCATGCATTTCTTATCCGCACTTTCATGTTTCTGGCGTAGTCGGTACTTCGTTTGGTTGTGGTATTTCATTTGGTTGATCAATTAAAAAGTCCAATGGTTTGGCCAATTGGTACATTAATAAATCATTTTTTCTAGAAAATTCAGAAATCAACTCAAGAGACATAACACGTCACAATGTTTTATGTATAAACATTATCAGCTTAGAAGTTGTATTACAACAACATGATATAAAAATTTTATGTGTAAGTGAACATTGGTTAAGAAAAGATAAACTTAATCTACTAGCATTAAATAATTACTCTCTTGCAACTTGCAACATCGTTAGTAGATCCTTCTTTGTTTAGAACGTTTTAAAATATATTTTCTTGGATAATCTAATTACGTTTAACGAAAAAAAAAAAAATATTGAAATAGTAGGAATCAAATTGACGAATTTACGAACTGTGATTTTAAATGTGTACAGATCACCATCTGGTAATTTTAACAATTTCATCTGTACATTGGAAAATGCTCTTACTGTTGTCATAAGAAACAAAAATAGATAGTATCATGTTATTTGGTGACTTTAATGTAAATTTTCGAGAAACTAAAAGATTGAGAGACTTATTGCAATCTTTTAACTTGAAACAAAAAGTTAATCAGCCGGCTCGTATAACGGCTATGTCACAAACATGTATTGGCAATTTATTTATGACGTCTAGTCATTAAAAGAAGTGGTCAGCTTCAGTATTAAACCCTCATCTGTCAGATCATCATGCTATATTAGCAGCTCTTGAGGATAATAATTCTGCTGTACTGTCAATGTATAAGCGATGCTACAATACTTCCTCTAAAATGAAGTTTGCCCAAAAAATAGAGAAAATTGATTGGAATTATTTAAGCACTATAGAGTCCGCACAAGAAGCTTTCTTCAATATCTACAGATATCATTTTAATGAATGCTTTACTTTAAAACAACAGGCGAACCCATCTAGGTCACTACCGTGGTTTAACAAAAGGCTACATTCTATGAAGGAAAAACTGGATAGACTTGATACAATTATTGCTAATGCAACAAAAGCAACTGAATCATATGATATCTATAAAAAGTATAGAATGGAATACAGGTATGAATTAATGAAAACTAAACAAAAGTATAATGCAAACTACATTATGAATGCGAGAAATAAGTCTAAAGCGGCCCGGCAGGTAATCAAGGGAAACATAAACTTATGTTCAAAACAAAAAATGAAATCTGATGTAAACGCTGAAGAATTGAGCATCTTTTTCACGCGTATACCGTTGGAAATTGCATCATCATTGATGAGTGATGGTCCAAATAGCCCCAGTGATTACATGAACTGTGTAAAATCGAATGTTAACTCGTTTGTACTGTTTTCTACGAATGAATTAGAGATATTTAATACTATAATGCAACTCAATAATAGTCACTCAGAAGATTATTATGGTATGTCAACAAGCATTTTAAAATTTATTGCTTACATCATTGTTGAACCATTAAATATTATTATTAACAAATGTTTTTAACAGTTCATTTTCCCTAATGAGCTGAAAATTACGAGAATAACTCCCATATACAAGAAAGGTGATGTAAATGATCCTAACAATTTTCGGCCAATAGCTATCTTACCAATAATGTCAAAACTTTTTGAGCATCTGTTGGAATCGCGTCTTCTTGACTATTTGATTATGAACAAGTCATTGATGGTTTTAATGAGTCAAAAAAAATTTCGGCAATAATGTTCTGCCTTACAAAGGCATTTGATTGTGTCAATCATAAGATACTGTTACAGAAACTGGAATATTATGGCATCAGACAACCCACGATAACAGTGTTTCAATCGTACTTAGAAAATCGAAGACAGGTGGCCAAGTTGGTAATTATAGATCGAATATAAGAACGGTGGAAATCGGTGTACCGCAGGGATCCTTCTTTGGTCCAATTTTATTCCTTTTATATGTGAACACTCTTCCGGAAACTCTGAACATGTGTAAGACAATAATGTATGCATATGACACAACATTGATAAATATAGTTGAAAAGCTGCACGAAAATGAGGGTCTCAGTCAGAAGGGTGCATCAGATTGGTTTAAAACGAACAAACTTAAGCTGAATGAAAATAAGAAAAAAAAAATTGATTTTAGTACTAAAACAAATAATAACATCTCGGCAGTTAAGTTACTGGGGCTGCAGTTTGAAAACTCTTTGAAATGGAATCTACAAATGGATGTAATAGGAAAAAAACTTAGCTCAGTAGTTTACCAACTTAGAACACTTATAAGCCTAACAGATTTGCAAACAGTGATAGTGGTGAATTACTCGAATTTCCAGAGTGTGATGTCATATAGCATTCTGTTTCGGGGAAGTTTCCGGAGCCGAGCGTATACTTTTAATTCAGAAAAAAGCAGTAAGAACGCTATTCAAAGCTAATCAACTAAAAAGTTGTAGGCCACTTTTTATAAAATCAAAAATAACGTCCGTTTACTTGTTGTACATTTATAAATGATTGATGTTCGTAAAAGAAAATCTAAATGGTATATTATGCCGAGAGGAGTTACAAACTACAATACGAGAAATCAAAAATTGTTACAAATCCCTTACCATAGGCTTTCGACATGCCAACAATCTGTTTAGTACCAAGGAATAAGATTTTATAATAAATTCCGGGACGACACAAAATCACTTTCACGAATTCATACATGAATTCACGGATACGCCGTACATTTTGTAATTGTCATTTATTGAAATTGTAAACATACTCTTGACGACCTGTAACTTTATGTTTTTTTGGGAATAAATTATTATGATTATTATTCCTGATAAACATTATCCTTAAGGACGCCGCACAAAAAAAATCAAGAGGTGTTAAATCAGGTGATCAAGCAGGCCAGGAAATTGGAGCTCCCCTTCCAATCCATCGCCCAGCATAATCCTCGATCTAAAGCTTCACGTGCAATATGCATATTTTGTCTTTTTTCCCTGCTCAAATCTACAAGTAACGTTGGTAAGACGTCATCTAAAAAATTTCAGTACTTCTCCCCATTCAGCATACATCTTTTGGACCTCTCGATTTCCTGGCAAAATAATGTGTAATAAGACCATCTACACTGACCCTGAAAAAATAGTTAATGCTTTTGCAGATCAATTCTCTAGACTATACACTGGTGTCTCTGCTTACAACGTGGTTGATGTGGTTGATGTACACTTTACGTATCCTTAAGTATTTGTTGCCGATGTCACTAAAAAACAGGTTTTTCATTTCCTAAAAAAGTTACCTAATAAATTTACTGCTGATGATGATCTCCCTGCATTTTTCATTCGCGATTACTGTGCAGTTTTTGCAGTCCAATTTCGTTGAAGTAATTAAACAGATTATTTCATTTGTGTCACCATATCAACATGGGTTTATCAAGCGTTTACCAATCTCGCGGTGGTTACTGAGGTGATTTGTGAATCTTTGGATAGGAGCAGTCAGGTGGATGTGGTATACACTGATTTTTTTAAAGCATTCGACATGATTCATCATGACGTCCTCTTCTGTAACCTTAGTGCTTTTGCCTTATCTCCTAGGTTTATAAAACTATTTATCTCTTACCTGTCGGGTCGTATAAATTATGTGTATTACAACGGTTATGCGTCTATGGAGTTTACGGCTAGGTCTGGTGTTCCTCAGGGCACAAATCTAGGTCCCCTACTATTTGTTATCTTCTTGAATGACCTTTTAGACAAATTCTATTCCGACCTATTTTTTCGGACCGTGATATTGTCAGTCTTCAGTCGGACTTGGATGTCTCGGTATAACCGTTTTCAGCTAACGATTAATGCGAATAAGTTCGGTAATCAAGTATCCGGGGGTTACTTTTGACCGCAAATTGTGTTTCGTTTTGCGCACCTCGCGTACCTGTTCTGCCATCAGTGTGTACAAGTCCCTGTTTTTGACCTTTGTATTGTCCAAATTGGAATATGGCTCTATAATTTGGTCACCACAATATTTGTGTCATAGACTTATATTGGAAAGAATTCAGAGGAGATTTCTGCAACGTCACAACTTTTCTGCACTGGACGTGAGAAGTGTGCATGACCAGTGTGTCAAGTTTTTACAGAAGTGAATTGGATTGTGCTTGTACCAATGAGTTTTATCCGAGGAATTTCAGATCCAATATTTTAGCCAACTGCCCGGTGTAAAGAATGTGTAAACTAACTAACAATAATAGTGTAGGAGTGTTCATGTGAGTGATATTTGTTTTATAGCATGTGCTATTGATCTTTGATGGGCAATAAAGTGAATCATTATCTTCAACAATGGTTCCTTTGTCTCATTATTATTTTATCATCTTTTAATTTGTGCTTAACGCATTTTCTTTTTATTATTCTTCGTTTTATTAATCGTTGTTTCTTGAGGTTGTTATTAATAAGGCAATATCAGTATCAATGACCTGTAAAAATAAGAGAAGAATCAATTTCATTAACTAAATTATTATTATTAATTGATAAATTTTTTTAGGTTGTTACAAAAATTTCTTTGTTCTTAACCGACAAAGAAGTTCATCGTACCAGAAACTCATATTTAAACTCCTTTATCCTAAAAAGTTTTGTAATGTCATTTTTTAATACTTACACGACGCTGTTTTATTACGCTTTTCTTAAGGTAAACTATAAAATAATTTGTTAAATAATTTTTTAATAATTTTTATTTTTAGAATTTGAGATATACTCATCCTGGAGATCATCTTTCTTATGATAGCACATTTGGAATAGCAGCCGATGTTTGCCCACCAGCTCTCGGTTGCACAGCGAGTCTTTCAATACATATATTGTTTTTAATGTTGAAAAATTATGTGGTGATGTTAATTAAAAAGAGTGGAATAGTTCCGTAAGTTAATAAAATAATAAATAATCAACGAATAATTTTTACTTTTTTAGTTTGTTATATAATTATTACAAACGAGTAAAAAATATCCGCGCTCTCAAGAAAAAAGAGCAAGATTGGTCGAAACAACACTTACCACAATGGGAAGTCGATTATGAATTAATAAAACCATGCCAAATGTTTTTCTTGGAAAGTTTCACATCATCAGGTTTAAAAAAAAACGAAACTAAATAACTAAAATTAACTATTTTTTTAAAATGTAGTTTTAGAATTTGGTGCTGTTACATTATTCGTAGCATCTTTACCTTTATTACCCCTCCTAGCCTTAATTAACAACATAATCAATTTGAGATTATCATCGATGACCTTAACCAGAAGAATTCGAAGAAGTATCCCATCAAGAGTTAATGGTTTAGGTGCTTGGAATACAGTTTTGCTTGTCCTAACAAGAATTAGTTTTGTGATAAGTGTACGGAAATAAAATGTTTTAATTAATTTATAAATTAATTAAATTTTTTAGGGTTGCATTATAGCTTTCACAACAATATTTGTTCATAGAGTTACTTATATCATTGAGAAAGGAAATTACACCGGTTTCGTATTCAATACACTTTCAGCATTTTTGATAGATGACTTCAATACGCAAATGCGTTCAAATATCATAAAACATTACCCGAATTTAACAGCGTGTTATTACCCGGGATTAAGAAAACATTACAACGAAACGCGGAAATATGAATTATCCGATAGATATTATCAAATATTATCGTTTGAATTGTTGTGTTTAGTCATTTTTGTGGTATTTCTTTAATAGCATCATGTATTCTTTTTAATTAACACATCTTTTCAGCATTTTGGTTTTTTCTGCACTAATCTACTCACTATTTTAATCCCAAAAGAACCAGAATTAATCAGGGAATCTATCCAATTTGAAGAACAGAAATGGAAAATGGAAAATATCAATAAAACTGAAGAATTCCTAGAAAACTATAGCGTGAATAGTTTCTAACACAATGTGAATACACAAAAAATGTATTTTTATTTACACTTAACATAAATAAATAATACAAATGAAATGTAACATACCTTTTATGTAGCATTCTTCTTGTTTTACTTGTTCGGGATTTAAGACGACAAATTCTTACTAAATATAATAGTTAAATAGGTAAGCATTAATAATAAACACCTTTATTAGAAAATAAGCTTAATTATACAAAAAAAAACATACAAAAGAAAATAGGCGAGTTCCAGCTTGTACTAGTTAGTACAGCTGCTCTAACTAACCTAAGAAATAAAAAAAGAAAAATATGACTCGGCCAAAAATTACAAAGCAACAGCTAGATACAACAACAAGATTGCAAAACATGTCAGATCAGCGTTTGCCCCCATGTAGACATTGTTCAAGAAAACAAGAATATTTCTGTGTAAATTTAAACCTTCGTAGTGAGAACCCCTTGCAATTATCGTCCACCTCATTATATTTCGAAGTTATTTGAAATAAGTATGATCTCTGAAACAAAGACAAACGATAGAAGGGTGGCGACAGTCTTCCGCGAAATCGCGTATTTATTCGGTGGACATCATTTCGGAAAGTTATCAGTTGGTAGAGATACTGTGGTTCCTTGTAGTTTATAATTTTATGGTATAGGCACAAACACTGCACTTTCCTACGATGNAAGAGAACATCTTTTTCAGATGAATACCAAGGTAGTGTCGATGAGGAAACAACATCCTCAGATGATAATAAGCCCTGGATATACAGTTGGAGACATGCTTCTTATAGCGAAAACTGTTGTCCATAATCATACCCAAATTCTTTACCTCACTAACCAAAGGAATGTTACAACCATCAATTTGCAAATCAATACTTTCCCGAAAACCATTACATATAGCGGAATTTCCAAAAAGTATAGCATTGGATTTACTCGGATTAAGATGTAGACCGTATTCCCGAGCCACTTTATGAATGTAATCAAGGTCTTTTTGCATATTCGTAATACCCAACGCGAAGTCGCGTGGATCAAAGGAAACATACATCTGCAAGTCATCCGCATACATATGGTACTCACAATGATTTAACCCCCTAACGATTTGAGATGTATATAAAGAAAATAGAATAGGCCCTAAAATAGTACCTTGTGGTACACCCTTGCTCAAACAGCGAAATTCAGACAAAGCATCACCGATTCTAACCGACTGATGCCTATTACTTAAATAATTTTCAATTAAGTTTAAAGCGGATTCACTGAAGCCAATATACTTTAACAATTCCACAAGCAAATCATGACAAACACTATCAAAAGCTCTACTAAAATCCAACAAGACTACCAACGTACATAATCCTTTATCTCGAGCCTGTAAAATATCATTAGTTACCTTGAGAGATGAAAGAAGAAAGATGTGAAGGCAAAGTGTATTGGAGCTAGATGCTAGTAAGTACTATTTGAGAGATATTTGTATTGTCATTAAGTGATGCACAGAAGAAGTTTAAAAATTTTATAGTATGAAATCAAAAACTAAGCAAAACATTTATCTGCAAGGGCTGTTACAAGCTACAACTGTAGCCAAAAGACGAAAACGCAAGGAAAATGGGATGAATAAGAATAGATCGTTTCTACATTTATTAATATCGAAGAAAAAAGAATAAACGATTGTTAAAGAGCATTTGCAACTATTCATTGTATTAGCTTGGAACGAATTAAAAGAATTAAGCGTTTATTTATGAATGATGAAGTTCCTTATGATAAACGGGGTACAAATATTAAAAGAAATGCCATTGAAGAAA